TCCTCGTTTAGGCAGCCAGAGGAGATACAGGTCCAGAGGCAGCAGCAGGCCAGATCGCTCACCAGCGGTTGAGGGGTAAGCTGTTTCTACCACCTTAGCCTTGTTTCCAACAAACAGCGGCGGTTGAGACATGTTGCAGCTCCAGTGCGGTCGCTGGAGTCGCTCACAGCTGACGCACAAAATGATTTGCTGCAACTTGTTGGATGTTTCAGGGGCAGCCCTGCAGTTCTCTTTGCTGTGTGTGCAGTGACTAAATACAAGATGACTTTCACAGCAAAAAGCCACATGCACATTCCCAGTTCACACATAACTTGCTGCAAAAGGCTAGAAATCAGCTGGTCAAATAAAATTAACCAGAAATAAAAATGAAACATGTTTTTTGTTTTTCTCCAAAGACACTGATCTTGATCCTCAGACAATCAGTTAAATTTTTAAAATTGATTTTGGCTGCTTATTTTGCTCAAATAAAGAAGCAAAAATCTAAACTTAGCAATATAACTGGAGCCAATTGTGTCTTTTTCTTCTCAGAGAAAAGTTCTTGAATATACCATTTAAAATGGATTCTTTGCCGGTTTGTGTTTTCCGTAGACGGGTCAATCCTTTAAGGAGACGGTCACGGAAATGATGCTTCTTATTAGAGTTTCAGAGAATTGAACTCACCTAAAAGAGATGTCTTTTTCTGCTTCTAAATGTCCCTTTACTCAATATCTGCCGGCAATACTCAAAATATATGCTTCATTAATCATGGAGGGTGATTTCTTTAGACATGTAGCAAAATGAGGCACAAGATATCATGAAAAGATTGTAGTAACTTGCATAGAAAATATGTTTGTGAAAGCAAACAAAAAAGCTTTCTGGAGTGTCTGCTTTGCTCAGCAGTTTCAGTGAGATGGTTTAAATCTTTCTTGAACTGCAGACCCCTCCTGTAACCTAATATCTTGTGATTCTTACATGATTCAGACACATTTACCTAACAATCTCCAAGACAGCATCCTTATCAGTAACCTCTGTATGCTGTGATGTTAGGCAACTTCCAATAATGTCAACAAATGTTGCAATAACAATATGACTTGCAGTGAATAAGCAACAAAACATTGTTTAGGTTGTCGTTGTAAAAGCTACTTCTAGACGACATCGACTGTTTTTGTTACTGAAGCAAGTTAGTTTTAGTTTCATAATGATTTTCTTAAACATGCCTATTGAACTGCTTAATCTGTTTTCTACAGTTTAAGCAGTTCTCCACAATATGCATATTGTATACAGTGATACTGCAATGATTATAGATTTGCAATGTATTGCACATCCCATGTCTGGGTCATTCACAGGTCAGAGAGTTTCTCTAAGACTGCTTCAGCATTAAAGTAGGAATGAGTGAAAAAGCAGCCAAAGTTCAAAGAAAATCTTTGATTGGTTTCTAGAAATATTAATGCAATTTCTGACATGTATTTTAATTTAGAAAGAAACTCAGATAATTGTCTTCCAGCTATCATGAGTCTTGTATTTGGTTCTAACTTTAGTTGCTGTTGTGTGTTTTTTCTCACAGGATTGTGCAGCAGTTTCTAGCTGGACTCTTTGCCAACTCTGGAGTTCCCGGCTCTACTCCTCTGTCATGGTAAACCTAAGCAGCTTCGCTCACCAGCGTTGCTTTTCTGAAACTGTTCATCTCCAGCTTGGCTGCGCCTCTGTCTCTTACAGGACAGGGATGCTGCACTCCAACCCAGGCGATTACGCATGGGGACAGGGAGGGTTAGACGCTGTCATAACGCAGGTGAACTAATTTTCTTACCACACTTTCACCTGCTTTTACCCTCGAGTTTACCTGTGTGTGTGTGTGGTTAGTTACTAGGTCAACTGGAGAACACAGGCCCTCCTCCAGCGGAGAAAGAGAAGATTTCTTCCCTCCCGACTGTCAATATAACTCAGGAACAGGCAGGTCTGTCATATTTCGTGCCTCTTAGTTTCTGACCAGGTTACACTTGTCCTTAAAGTTGACTATAGCTGTGCTTGAGTTGCCAGTTTAACTCCTTTCCATGGACAGCGGTTACTTTATTTGGACTGTTTGGTCATGGCTGCTAACTTTTTCAACTAGTTATTAAATCCAGAGGCTCTACTCTATGTGTTTCAGTGCTGTTCACATACACAGACTCACTTTAATGCGATACTATGAGGTTTTTTCCTTTTATTGAGAAAATATATATTTTTAATTAATATTTGTCTATATGTATCTTTTAGATTCAGAATGAAATGACTCCGGTCAGCTTACTACAGTCTTAAATTTTGGAAAAAAAATGTTTCAAGTTTGGACAGGTATTTCAAATGAAAATGAAGTAAAATGTTTCCTATTTCTATAATTATTAATTCCCTCTTTTTTTCAATTAATGTCAGAACATCCAGAAACGATGACTTCAGCTGATTTTTGTATTTAGATAAACGGACATTAAACATGGGCAAATTCAATACTTATTGTCTTTAAAGTCTCATAACAGTACAGCTTTAATCCTTGAATGAAAATTAGTGCATATTATTGCATTTAAATTTCAAAATGAGCCAACAGTTGATTGAGAAATCCAGTTAATTGTATAATTTTTAAATGGAAAGACTATGGCTAATAAAAACCTCTAAAACTCTTTTTAGGGTAAAATATTCATCAATCTAGACAAGATTAGCTGTTTATCCCATTAACTAATTGCAGTGGACCCTTTGTGACTTTGTCTTTATAGTTTAACTTGCACTAACTCATTATCTTTGAATTGTAAAAAAAAAAAAAAAGAATATAATGCTCATAAATGAACAACAACAACAACAAAAAAAACCCACAAAAGAGAAGTGCTTTTTTATCAGTGGAACTAAAGCATGTTTTCCTCTTGTCTCCTGCAGACTGCTGTATGGAATGCCCAGTGTGCAAAGAGGACTTTGCACTGGGAGAACCAGTCAGACAGCTACCCTGTAACCACTTCTTTCACTCAGACTGTATAGTACCATGGCTGGAAATGGTGAGTCACGATACAGAACGGCAAGCATATGATTCATTTGCTGTTCTTGGGAAAAAAATAAATCCAGATGTAAAACCACATTCAAACTAGCTTTCCAGGATAGAGCAAAAAAAAAAGAAAAATTATAATTATAACAAATTTCCATGTGCAAGATCAGCATCAGAAAGGAACGATCAGGTTGCAGTTTGCAATTGAAAAGTACTTTGAAAGACTATTCTTAACCCTTAAAACTTTTTATATTCTGCCAATTTCATTAGGATTTATATACTGGAAAGACACAGATAAGCATGTACCGGTAATCATATATTAGTGTATTTCTAAGTTTCCACAAATCAGTTTGTGGGAAACTGATTTGCCGTGGAGGAAGGCGATCTGGTCAAATGAGAGATGATGAGATGATGATGTGTTCATCATCTGCATGGGAATGATGAACACATCATGCAGAAATATGGTGGTGGAAGATCTGAACACTTCTGAGATTCTGGGTTTCAGCAGATTCTCAGCAGGTGAAATGCTGTTTAGAGACGTTCTCTATCCAGTCTCACTGAGCTAGAGCAAAAATATTAAAACATCCCGCTAAATGTGCAAAGCTGAGTGAGACGGAAAGTGGTTCCTATAAAGTGTTCACCCCAGAGACAGAATGAATGCATACTTACGAGATTTTTTTGCATTGTCCTTCTGCTTTACATATGTTACATTCCATTAAAGTTGGAGGTTTAACATGTCAAAATCAGAAAAGGTTAAAGAGGATGGCTAACTTGCTGAAAGTGTTCGTATTAACTTGGCATTTTTAATTGAAAGATAGCCATGTACTATCCTCCATTGACATCCACTGAAATTAGTTTGATTTGATTAAAGCTCAGTTTATAAGTTGAATTAATGTGTTGGTAGGAACATGCTGCACTGTTTTGTTGTTTAGTTTGACAGTAATAACACCATATTTTTGAAAAAAAAAAAACAGCTGCAAGCTGATGTCTGCCTTCTTTTCCGGTGGTTCTGCAGCACGATACGTGTCCAGTGTGTCGGATGAGTTTGAACGGAGAAGACAGCAGCAGCCAGCCCTCAGAGTCCCCCTCGCTCTCCACGGACCCTCGCACACAGGAGAGATGGTCTTTTTGAGACACCCCAGCTGTCTCATCCTCAGCTTTCCGTCACTTACGTCCAGGAAAAAAAAAAAAAAAAAAAAACGCTTCACATCTTCCCTATTTTCTTTCTGTTCCTGTCATTATATTTTCAGCCACTTTGTATATTTATTTTCTATTTTTAATGCCTTCTTCTTCAATCATGTATCCTCTTAAAGACGTCTTAATTTGTTGTGGTTTGCTTAATCTATTTTATTTGTGGGGATAGAGCAGCCTAGATTGACCCTCATCTCGCCCCGTTCTTTTTCCGTTTCCTCTCCATACTTTTCTCTCGGCGCGTTGCTGAAATTCTCTGACGGAGGAAAAAATAAGACATTTTTTTTCCTCTTCACAGTTTCAGAGACACAAAATCCTGTAGCTGAGCCCTGTGGAGGCACGAGGAATATTCTTAATAGCAATTCTGCTCAGTTATTTTGCAGTGATTGTCATCAGGAAAATTTTTGACATTTTAAATTGAATAGGAATCTGATTAAAGAGCCACAAATAGAAGCTGTAACTTCAGATAAGAGGAAGCATTTTTTTAAGCCCTCCCAATTCCTCTCTGTTTGAAGCTGTACATGAACTGAGGAAATGACATTTTTCAGTGTTTTGCCCTCATATCTCATGCTTTAGATGTCATAAACTGCTCCTGGTGTATATATTAAATACAAATGACATCCCTCTCTCATTTTAGTCCTCTGTTTATGGCAGTCTTTTTTTGATTTACATTTTTACCACTTATTTTGATGTAAATAATTTTAGTCCTACTTAAGGTTTGCAAAGAAGACATTGAGAATGGCAACACAAATGTGAAATACATGGTTTATGAAACTGTATATTATAAATATAAAATGTTTATGATGTATCAATAAATTGACAGAAAATGTTGCTTGCTAAAAGTGCATTTAATATTGATTAAGAAACATTTTGAACAGTGCGCTTTATACACAATAAAACTAAAAGAAGGCATTTATGAGCTTTGTTGATCAGAAGGATCATTAGTAGCACGATGAGGCCTCAGCAGCACTTGTGAATAAATTACTTTCATTTATTGCTGTTGCTTAAAAAAATGGTGAAAAAAAAAATAGCTTCACAAACTCGATTAAAATATGCTGAGGTTCTTTGGAGTTATTTAAATAACTGGCTACAGTAATTGTGCAGAACAGAAATGTGTTCATATTAAAACTGACATTGGATCTGCTCCTCTTCCAGCCAGTGGGGACATTATGCCAGAGTGGACCTCTGGCATAATGCCGAGTACTTTCACATTCATAGTACAAAACAAACGAGCATATTAGTGATAGCAATGGATTAGCTTGAAATCGATGTTTCCAGATCCATATTTAACTCAGAATTTGGGCTACGAACTGAACTTAGTGGACAATCACCGTAACAAGCATTTGTGACAAGAAAAGCCAACAAGTTGTTTGATGTTCATACTTTGCCATTTGATTTGTGAGCCCAAATCTGATATGGAAGCTGTGTTTCCATTAACTAATAGCCTATATGTACCAATAATAGTTATTAAACTATTACTAGCTATTTAACTGACAATAGTTATTAGTTAGTCATAACTACTATGCCTTATAATTATGTCCAATTTAAAGATAAGCTTATATCCTATTAGCTGGGGTTTAATACTGACACCGTTTATGCGGATCGTCTCCAATCACCTCACTGCTTGGGTTGCTTCACCAAACAGCCCAGGTGAAAACTAAAGTCTTGTTGAATGAGATCCACTTGACGAAGAAATCCAGTTCAACAGGTGCAACACATCTAAAACTCAAATTGCTCCCATTTTAAACCCTGAGTGTCTCCGTATCAAATCTTCAAAAGCAATTAATCTCTGCATGTAAACATTGGCAGGGCGGGTTAGTAGCGGCCTCTACTCAACATCTCAAGTTAGCACGATTGTGAGAATGAACAAGTGAAACTATGACGACATGAAGTCATGATGAAGTTTTCCAGTGCAGTTTTCCTATTTAGGAAATCCTCAAAAATGAAAATGAGGCCAAATCATTTGCATACATAAGTGCATGGTGTCTAGAGATTTTGTCACAAACAGATTCAGCATATTCTTAAATTATATGATCCGACATAAAAAACCGCCAAGTGTGCCGGCGTGTAAATGGTGCAGACCATAATGAAGACATAACAGTTTGATGCGATTTATAAATGGTTGTTTTTGTGTCCGCGGTGCTCAGAGAAACTTTAAAGAGCGACATTGTTAAATCTCAGTGTGCGTTCCAAGCCGCTGTGAGCAGCGAATGGGGCGGCGCGGTGCAGGGAATATAACCCACAGCAGGATCCCACACCTCAAACTGAATGGCTGATGATGACCTGAACACAAACACACACACAGCGGGTTAGTATTTACCACTAAACTGCACTAATTAGAACCCATTTCTTTATTAGTACCTGTTGAGAACGATGAGAACCACAGAGCCGTCTGGTCTGACGAAGGCGGAAAACTCAAGCTGTGTCTTCCCACTAGCAGACACTCCCACCCTCTGCGACCCCTCCCACAGGAAAGCACTGTATACAAAGACTAAACATAAGATCTCATTGTAAAAATCAAAAGGAAACATACGAAAAAAAAACATCACCTAAAGTGGGCCATGCTGTAGAAAGTTGGCTGTTTGTAAAAGACGTCCCGCTTGGCGTCCACTATGATGGGGCTGTCCACAAAGTTCTTCACCCAGTTTGGCCCACCAGTCTGGTCCAGTGCCAGGTTCCAGTCAGTCCAGCCCACGACGAAGTGATTCAAGTCCTGAAACAGAGAAAACTCCCTCGTATGTCTTCTGAAACTAGTAGTGAGAAGTGTATCTTCATGAAGTAAAACTGTTGTCTGGGCATTCAGTGTCTTGTCACACTACAAACACACACCGGAGTTTGGAATATAATACGATGGACCAACGCAAAGTATCGGACGCGGCTTAATTCAAATTAAGAATGGAACATGCTTTTAAAAAGTTTTACAAGTAATAGTGTGATGTGCATTTTGTGTCCAACCTTCTTCACTATGACATTTCTAAATAAAGGGACATAGCAGAGATGTTAGAGTCCTTTGACGAGGTCAAAGTCCAGACCAAAATTCGACTGAATATTTGTCAAGTCTTGAAAACTGATGTTTACATATTGATTTCTTAGAAGGACTTTTGCAAGGAAGAGCAGGCAAATGTTTCCATTTCTAGATGTGTACAAAAATGCCCAAAGGACTTCTGACTGTTCTTCCAGTAGAAACTGATTCTGCTGATATCAAGTCCAAAGACGTGCAATGCTTTTCAGATTTGTTTTTGGAAAATTATTTGAAAATCGTCCATTGTTTGCCTTCCACTACACATTTATCCTTTACCTTTTATCCATCCATCCCATACAATCCCAGTAAAGCGCATTAAAGTTTTAGCTGGTAACATGGCAAAACGTGACACCGGCAGAGAGACACGGACAGGATCAAGTTCTTCTTGACTCAGGGTACGTCTAATACCTGAATGAGCACAAAATGAATAGGATGGAAGGACTCCAGTTTCCCCCAGCGAAAGTGAAGTAAGATGACACAGAACACCAGTTCCAGCTTGCTCTGCAGCCCCTGCAGGCAGTTTCTGTAGTGTGTGTATGTGTATGTGTGTGTGGGTGTGTGTGCAGCAGAGTGCAACATTTAACCTGCACTGCAGCTTGGAGGGGAGGGAGACGCGGCTCTCGGGGACGGCTCGCAGCTTGTCAAATCTGACGCCTGCAACAGTGGATGTGAGGGAACAAGCGCCAACCCTGAGATGAGCTCACCTCTAGGATGTCGTGTGCGTATTGCTCTGCCCGATCCCAGCTGCCCAGCTTCACCCCGCGGTCCGCTGGGCTCCAGCCCGCACAGGCCTCCGTGCCAAACAGATAGTACTCTGGGTACAGCTGATGGGTGGCTCCCAGGCTCGCCTCCGCAGGGACGAGACTGTCCAGGTACCAGTGCACCGCCACGCCGTGAATGTATCGTGCTGCATGAATGTCACTGAGAACCTGGAGGGACAAAAAGGCAAAAAAAAAAAGATAATTACCAGTACTGCAACTAGAGGTTTATTTTGTCTGATCATACGATCATATAATCTGTACTGAATCCCTCTAATTTATGTGACAATTGAGATGACAATTGTGGCATAAATTCAAGAGACTCAGTTACATCTGTTCGTTCGACAGTCTCCAGATGTTAAACTGGCTTTTAATTACTGTTAGTTCTACTGAAACGAGAGACTTAATGTTCTCACACACATTTTTTTCCCTAAAGAGCTGCTATTCAACTCAATCGCTCATTTTCAGTGAAAGCCAACAGATCAGGCGCCGGGCGTCCAGTGAATTACGCAACAGAATTAAAATGATCTGTTTTCATCTATCACTTATTTTATTGCTTCCAACGTAAATGCAGCAAACAGAACACAAATGTGACATTCAAACTAATTACATTTCAAACACTGCAGTAAAGTAGCGATTTACTAATGTGAAAGAAAAAAAAAAAGACTCATAATTCCTACAAATTCAGCAAAGTATTCTGACGTCTTTCTAATTTTTTTTTTCGTTAATCTTGTTTTACAACTAGAGAAAGATCCTCTATGACAGGTTGGGCTCTGAAAGAACGTTTGATTTCTGTTAGTATTTTTCTTATTGGTTTGTAATTTAAAACAAAATGAAACTTAAAGTTACACAATTTATATTTTTTTGTCACTTGAAATCTTCATCTTTTTTTCACGATTCTTTTCCCAGATGTTCCGTTTGTTGATGAACTCATTGGTGGGTTGGACTGACACCACTAGCGAGCCCCCAGTTGAACGCTCCTAACCTGAAGTTTCAGTTTGAAGAATCAGAAATTTATAGAAAGAAAAAGACCAGAATAAAGTAATGCACCACATTCAGAGAATGAAATTTGATGTAAAGTCTGGAAAAGTATTGGAAAAGCAAATAAGAAAGGGAAAAAATATATATTTCCAGACTTTGTTCTCTGCCTTTCTCTACTTCTTTAATAATTTTTTGGGGGAGCTGACTGAATTTGTCAGATTATCTGTGGGAAAATTGTTTAGCAACACCTGAGACACACCAGGAATATGAAGACTTTGAGATGAGATGAACTAAATTTTAGAGTAAATATCAGATATTTCCTTCAGCACTCAGGATGACTTGCATGTGACTTATATGGAAACATAATTTCATTACGACTGCCATTTTACCACAAACTGAAAAGCAGCAGACTTTGCTCATTTGAATTGACCTTACATGGCACTACTTTCTGCTTTCACTTTCCTTTTTGAATGTTTGGTCTACTGCTGGTTTCCCAAAATATAACTGCGGTGATCTCATCTGCCACCATGTGGGCTGAACAAAGTCAAAGACGACCTTCCCCACTGCTCTATCTCTTTGTCCTTGGACTCACCACTCGGGCCCAGTGGGGCAGCAGCAGGCGGTTGTCATCCAGTATGAGGATGTGTGTGTGTGGGTGTGCTGAGGACTGCAGGGCCGGGCCCAAGTCCAGAGCCACCCAGTCCCTCTGCTTCTCAGGAGTGAAGCCCAGAGCCTGGAAACTGCGACCACACAAAGACACTAATGTGATTTTTTTTTTAGCATTTTTAAGCCACAAGGATGCTGCGTATTGTTCCAAATTAAATCAGGGACCTGTAGTTTGTCATTTGTCCTGCAGAGGGCTCGTTTCCTGTAGTCAGCGCCCAGAAGGTTAGGTTATATTTAGCATATTCCTCAAGGAACCTGCCAGGGAAAGTTAAAATGCATCAGAATTTATGTCTCCAGTATCAGGCCTGTCTGATGTGTGATAACAATTCAAGGTAAAAGACCCAAAAGTCACCTGATATAGTACTGAGCCCATGTTTTATACTCCTTGCCCCCCGGCTGGCCCTTCAGGGAGCCCTTTCCTATGAGTGCACCATTAGTTTTCATCCAGGCGGGGGCGCTCCAGGCGCTGCCAAGCAGGGAAAGTGGGCGAGGGGACAAGGCCTGGGCACGCAGCAGCAGAGGGATCTGAAACAAAGAGGAAGAGAATGTTGATGAGGACACATTAGGAGATGGACGTGTTTCTGCATCAGTGTAAAGACAGAGACCTTCATCTTCACATCCTCAGGGGCCAAAGCGAAGCTTTTCAGGTCGTAGTCCCCGGGTGTGTCAGCGTAGGTGTACAGCCGAGTGGAGAAGTCACAGCTGGCCATGGGGACGCGCACAACGCTATAGCCAATGCCTGGTACAACACAGAGAAACAAAAACGGTCCAGAGTCTTCAGTGATCAGAGCCGGCCCAAGGCATAAGTTAACCAAGCCACCGTCAAGGGACTCCAGACCAGCAGGGGGCCCTCAAGAGCCCCGTAATACTCAGTAATTTTCTTTGCCGTTTGCTGTTCATACTATATTTTGTGTTACTTTTCATTTAAAATTTGCTCAACTGTTTAATTTGTTGTAAAAGAAAAAAATAAATATTATTTAAAAGAATATCACATTTAAACTAAAATGCATATTTTTTGATACATTATACAGTTACCGAGTACTAAATGATTTCAGTTTTTTGTGACTGAGCTTTAGAACAATTTTTTGCACAATAAATTTAGTACAATTTATTTTATTTATTTATTTTTTGCTTTATTTTCAGCGCTTTTTATTTAATGAACCACATAAACTGATGTCTCTAAAATAGTCAATTGTTTTGTTGCCACAAGTACAAAACGTCCTCTGGCTCATGGCTTTATCTGAAAATTGGGCTCAAATTCTGCTCAGGTGGCCCTCGAGCGTCGGACCGAGCCCCGCAGCTGGTGCAGATGTCACAAAGCTTTAAACATCTGCAGGTGTGAAGAATCTGCCGATGCTCTCCTCCAAACCATGACGGCACCGCTGCTCCCTGAATAAATTAAGGCTCCATTGACACGCCTGACTCACTTTACTAGAAATCTTTCATCTCTGCACTGTGAATAAAAACTTCAATAGGATTACGAGCGTTGTACTTCGCAGTCCTTTAATCTCTTTCCTGGTACTGTGCAGGTGACACGATCAGATACGATTCTCAAAGATGAAACGATAAAGATCTGCATGCCGCTGCTGCGATAAGCTATTTCTGTAAAAGCTGGTGATCTTATGGTGTTTTGCAAATAAAAACCTCACTGACATTTACAAAGAATGGCTTATAAAAAAAAAAAGGAAAAAACATTCCCACATTAAGTTGTGGGGCAGCATACCTTGTAGTACTAACAAATTTAATGGAGAAGGTCAAACTGTTTTCTTCTTTCAGCTGAAAACAACAACCAAAAACATCTTTAAAATGATAGAAAACAAATGATGTCTGCAAGACTTTTCGAAAGACACAATTAAGAGAACACTTTCACTGCTTCTGTTTTTCTTTCTGTCATTTGAACATCCGAGAACAATCTAACCGAGGAGGAATGCTGAGAATGAGGCCGCATTTAAATTGAATAATAAAAAGAAGAAATAACATTTTCCTATTATACCTTGATTTTCCTCGACTCAGCAGTCTGAACCACCATCTCCAAACTCTAAATCATTTCAGACCAGCTTGCTGCGGTAAAAGAATTAAAGTGACCCGGTCGGTCATTAGATCTGAATCTGCTCCCAACAGGATTTGCAGCCTGATGAAACCAAATCTCCAGATTGAGGTTTCTGCCAAAATGGCTAAATCTACATTATAAAGATTTTATGATTTTTGGAGGTGAGGGGGGGCAGAAAAGCTGTAATCCTGGATGGGGGAAAGTTTATGTCATGCAGTGGTGTGTTACAGTTTGATGCTTTTATGTCCGCATTCAGTACCACTCCATATACTTGGCTTCAAGGTGGCCAGATGTTTCTGGGTGGTCACATGACAACCATTAATATTTTACGTCCCATTTTAAATTCCAAACCCAGTTTTGAAGCGAGGTTTGGATCACTTTTACTGCTGTACCACCCGACTGCGTTTCATTGATCTGCTCCAGTATTTACACCTAAAATCTTGAATGAAGTTCAAGATTTTATCTGAATATTTGATCTGAATATTGTCAGATCAAATGTCTTCTGGGGAGATGTTTAATAGTCAAACAGGACAAAGATTGAGTTATTTGACCACACTGGTAGCATAAATGTTTGGAGGAGTTGCAACTATTGTTTCAAATCTAAAAAAAGCACATGGATGTCCAAAATGTGGGGCGGGGACTATTTTGTGGCTCTTGGGATGATTTTCTGCGGCCCCTGAGTGCAAATCAAATTCTGCAGCAAATAAATTATTACAGATAAAAGAAAATCTACCTTTTCAGCCCACTAGTACTTCCAACTTGACTACTCTGGTAATTACTCACCACGTGTTTGGCTTTCATTGTAATTTCAAGTATAAAATTACAAACCTTAAGAATTTATTAGAATTATTATTATTATTATTTTTTTTAATAAATCCATATTACAGCGCTGAATACCTTCAGGTGGACAATTCTGGCTTGTGTTGCAGAACGTTTTACACCACTGATATGGACGGCTGATGATTGGACACAGTTTGGAGTCCCAGCAGGAAAATGCTCATAAATACACACCAGCACTGAAATATGTTACTAAATTAAAAAAAAATAAAATAAAAAAAACAGCCACAAACTGGAAGGAAAACACTAAAAATCAAAAGGTAAATACTGGAAGACTGTTTGAAAACCAAGATTACAAGAAAGTCTGGATCCTGCTGCTGTCAAACATAGCAAGACAATAAGGCTTTCATTTTACACTGCAGGATGAAGTGCATTGCTTTGGCATTTATGTTTAATATTCGCTTCATCTAAAACAGTCACTTGCAGTGTTACATTAAAACAACAATGCAGTTCATTTTGGTTTATTTTTATACTCTAGTTCTCAACTAATGTCTTCTTAAGACGCTTCAGACGATCCACTCCCATAAATCTGTACATAACGCAATCAGTCCACCATCTAAACATAAGCAAATTGCATTCTCCAATAAAACCATGCAAGTCACTGATCAATCCCTCCTTCAAAACAAGCAAGAGGCAACAGTGCGAAGGAACAACTTCCCACTGGGCAATCTGTACTTTTATTTTTATGCACTTTTTAAAAACAAAATATATACTTTTTTCTTGATAAACAACAAAATGAAACCCCACAACGGCAAGGCATTATTTTTTCCTCAAGTTGATTTGAAACATCTAACCAGAATAACCACTTCAATGCAATTTTATGACTTAAAGTCGCACTGCAAACTCGGCCACTTTATAACCTTCATAAAGTTGATCATCATTACCTTCTTTGGAGAAGTACTGCCGCAGCAGCTGCTCCTGTGCGCCAGCAGAGAGAGAAAGTATGTTAATGGCTGCTGCGTCGGTCATGGCTCCTCCGAACCCCTTGATCCTCTGGTACTTCTGGTAGGGGATGATCGTCAGCCTGATACCTGGAAGAAGGAAACTCATCAGGGAACAGCACTGATGTCCCAATATCCCAGAGCTCATCCTCCTACCTGCTCCAGTGCTGTTGACCTGGACTTGACCGTGGCCTGGCTCCATCCTGCTGCCTGCCATGCTGCTCAGGTAGGTGGAGTACTGACCCAGAGGTGGCAGGCTGACCGGACCAACACCATCACAGTAGGTGGAATTGCACTCACACACCACAGAGTTATGGCCAAAGTTTCTGGCAACACATCCATTGATTCCTATGAGGGTAAAAAAAAAAAACATCCTTACTGCACATAAAACACAAGGAGGACATATTTGTTTTTGTTTTTTGCTTTGGTTTTGGGTTACCTGCGCAAAGAATCACATCCGCTGCGCTGACAACAAGAGCTGCGACAAGAGCTGATGGCAACAGCAGCCCCATTTTACCTGGAGGCGAATAAAATAACCTTTTATGAACGATCAAATCACCTGAAGAAGAAGCGAGAATAACCTCCGACCTTTCCTGAAGGGGAAGCTCAGGTGACAACACTCCTCCGCTGGTCTGTTGCTGTCCCATTAGGGAACTTCCTGATCAGTTTCTGATCAGTTTTTTTTATTTTTTTGCACTGGTCACGTGAATTTCAAAGCGATCACGTGAACAGCGTGGACGTTAATCCTGAGCTGCAGCCAGAGGGCGCTCTACCGTCAAAACGGGATTGAGGGGAGTAAAACAGAGAACGTGTTGTTTTCAGTGCTGATGAATAGCATAAAATGTATCTGCCATTATTCCTGAAATTGAACGCGATCCATTGTAATCAGGGGAGAAAATACTTTAAAAGTGGCAACAACAACAAAAAAACCCTATAGAACAAATAAAGCAGGTTGAGCAGACTGAGATGGGCTGAGGTAGAAGCAATCACAACTGAACAGCACAATTCATAAAGACGGACAATACTGGTAAAAGATGAGGATCAAATTAACAGAACATCCACATTTCATCCATCCTCTGGAGAATATTTATCAAAGATCGTTGCAGTGCAAATGTGCGGGAGGGAAATCCAGACATTCCTCTTGCCTGAGACACTGTCCTGCTCATTCTGGGGGATTTCACAAGGTTCCCAGAGCAGAAGGTCTGTCTGGGAAACATGTCTGTCTGAGGCTGCTTTCCTGCTTCAGGACCTGGACGACTTCATTTCATCGATGGAATCGTGAACTCTGCTCTCTAGCAGAACATCTTGAAAAGCAATATCTGGCCATCAGTTTGCAGCTCGAGTTCATGAGGACTTGGTTATGCAGCTGTTCCATCATCTGCAGCACATCTTTCATCTCACGCAATAAAAATCAAAAACGGCTTTCAGAGAGGGTTCGGTGAAAGGCTGGACCGAAACCTGCTTAAATGTTTCAGGGTGGCTGTTGATGTTCAAAATCATACATAATCCTAAAATAAGGGTGGGTCAAAGTTCATCCACACTTGATACTGCCAAATGGAGGAACAAGCCATTAGGCTTAGGGGGTTAATTACCCTTAACATAGAGCAAAGTATCTATGGATAATTGATCTTGAAAACTTTATATTATATATTTACTGATGTCATCTTTGTATGATTTTAAAATGTCTTGTACGAGTGTAAAAACTAGATATTGGTAACGCGACAAATGCTTTTTGACGACTGTGTTTTTTGCATTTAGCAATAAAATCCAACAACACAAACAAAGCTTAGCCAGGAGAATAATTTAACATTCAAATATTTAATTTCCAGTAGTGTTAAAGATGGATGGTGTAACTTTGTGACAAACAAGACCTTGACCCAAGTTCTTCAAATTGTAAAATTGTTAGTGATATTCTTAAAGATAAAAAAACAAACAGTTTTTCTTGATAATGTTTTATTATGAAAACAACAAAGTAGAATAATTTACAGCATGATACACACCACAGCGTTTGTATGTTTCTAATGAGGTGGCATTGTTGTGATGAAATGACTTCATAAGTAGCCAGACAGTCTTTCGAACAGGGATGGATTCATGTTACACAAAAAGATGAGTTCTTTCTTCCCCTCTTCTGTTCGGCCTGATGGGAAAGCAAACATGGTCGGAAAACTCTGGTTACGTTTCATTTCTAATCACACAGCTGCAGAGTGACAGGATAATAACTCACTCTGTGGGTGCTGCAGCCAGTTCCGGTCCATGTAGTAAAGGTAACAGCTCTCAAACTCCTTCTCGCTGTAGCTGGGCACCGATACGGGGATGAACGGATCCATGCTGTCAAAGCCTCTCTATGAAGAGTGAAGACGACACCGACAGGAAGTTAAAGAACCCAACAAGAAGTCGGTTGTCTACAGGTGTGTGACACATTTAAAGCCATAGTTTGAATTATTATCCTGAAGTGTGCACTAAGATCACAAATTCAGTGCAATTTTTTCAATAAATTTACATGTAAAAAGTAAAGTCAGAAACCATGATGACTGCTTCAGGCACTGGAGGAGGGAAGAGGAACAAAGTGAATGATAAATGTTTTCAAATATGCATTAATGTGTAAAGTCAAGCCCACACAGTCAAGGGTGAAGTAAATAATAAATATTATATTCATATAATGCAAATGTTTTCCATTAGGTGGGTTACGTGATCGCACTTTAAATCTTGTAATTTATGCCTCCCGGCATAAGAAGAGGCATTTATCAGTCCTCGGATGAACTGATTTCCTGGTGTGCAGTCGCACAACAAATATACTAGTAATTAGTTCAAAACGACTTAATGAAGTCACATGGTAAAGTGCTGCAGTGTCGAAAAGACGAATGTGAGTCATTATTTGCTTTACTCTCCTTTTTTCAATGCAAAAATAACTTCTGTGCTGTGAAGAAAGTAAAAAGCTTTTTTTTCTTTACAAAAACTGCAAGTTAAACAGTTCAACAGGCAGTTTCCTGCCAAACAGTCAGAATATGATACTCTAAGGATAAATGTAATATTAAGAGAAGTACATTATAACGGACATATATCTGCCTAGGGGTTGTTTGAAATTGAGAGCAGTCTGGAGACAATCTTTAATAAGCATAAATCTTTACATCCAAACCAGGGGAACTCAACAAACTTTAATGTACTCCTGGGAGGCTTAATGTGATAAATGCACACAACGCAATAACAGTTATAGACTCCAGAAGAGTGAAAACTGAGGCAGATGTTCCCATTTCAGGAGGGCAACAACCATAAACATACAGCCTGAGCTACACTTGATTCAAAGCATATTCATGTTTTAAAAAGTTCAGAAAAATGAAGCTCCAAGATGCTCTCCATCCAGTCGAACAGAACTTTAAGTTGTAACAGAAGCAAAAGATGTTTGTGTGCAAGGTGTTGACTGAAAGGGAACGGACGTATGGCACACTTTTCAAATTTCTGCAAGTAAAAACTTTTAGAAACAATTTCTCAATTTTCTTACACTTCACTTGGGTACTATGTTGGCTGGTCTAGGACATGAAAACTCAAAGCATATTTAAAAAGGTGGAACAATGGAAAAATATGGAAAGAATCCTGGGTTATGACTACTGTAAGGCAGTAAATTCAACTAAACACTGAACAACTCTGGATGTCTTTAAAACTGCTCAAGATGTAAAACTGAGACTACTCTAAGAATTTTTTTATCTTTTAAAGACCCAATATAGATGAGGTTTGTCACTAAATGTGGTGGTTTCCTTTATGCTACGGTTGCTGCGTTTGTATCCACTTAGACATCATTGTTTTATGTACATTAGCCTAAACTGAGCAGCAGAGCTGAATCATCTGCAGCTCTCTGAGGAGAAGCTGATCAAACATCAAGATGAAACAGAATATTCTCTTACCTCTCCGAGAAGATCTTGAGGCAAGTAGGCGGATTTTGGACAGTAGAGAGAGCCCGTCTGAGACAGAGTGGTAATGATGGCGCCGCCGCTCTGAAACAAGGTGGTAAATGTCAAAAATAGGTTTCGAAAACGGCGTTTTGAGGCTTTAGCTGTTGTATTTCTCTCACCCAGTCGTTCTTCATCAGCTTTTTCAGGTTATAGACCAAAGTGAGCTCCTCTGGATCCACCTGAGGAAAATTAGAAGGACACATAAGACATCCTGTTTGTGGATAAAAAAAAACCCAACAGATGACGGATGAGTTTTGTCTTACGGCGGTCTTGTCCTCCTTCTTGATGGTGGATCTTCCCCACAGGGCGTTCACACCGTCCACAGCCACGGCCAGGCGGAAGTCCGCTCCCGGTTCGCCGCTTTGCAGCCTGAGCTCCTTCATCACCGCTCCCACCACATCGCTGCTGCTCTTTACTCGGGATATGCCCTGCAGCAAAGCAAATAGGCTCAGATGAAAAATGCAATGCTGTGAAAAGACAGAAAAATATTAAAAACGCCACATTATGATAAAGAGCTGATGGACTTAGGGGGGATTTTATGCACAATGTAATCCATTTTCAGCTTCAAGTTTTTTATCAGATAAAAGGAAAAACAAAAAGCCAGGAAGTATTGACAGATTAATAGAAAATCAAATCAAATAATGCAGCAGAGGGATGACTATCAGTATTTCCTCGAATCATGTTAGCATCCTACGCAGCAGCCTCCAGAAACACCAACACTGACAAGTCAGACCCTGCAATAAATCTCCCTAAGCTGAAATGTGACAGACAAAAAGTGAGGATTTTGCAGCTGCACATAAATCCTTGGCTCCTTTCTGTCCTCATCAATGCGTGTGGTACAACAACATTGTGCTGATCCATCACCCTGCTCGGCTCATTGGCTATTGATCACCGGTGGAGGTGGAGAGATGAAACTTTAAAGACTCCTGAAGGAGAGTTAACTCGAGTGGAAATAAAGCAGAGATCATGAGAGCGGGAGAGAGAGAACGCATCGACATAAAAACACTGGAATCAGAGGAAGATAAAGATGCTTTAAAGGACTGACCTGATCCACCAACTCTCCGAGTGAACTTCCTGCCTCGGTGGCCTCCCTCTTCGTCCACACGTACCGCTCCTTTAGTTTTATCTGAGGACAAAAAAAGTTGCAAACATTCGATTCTTTTTTTATTAAAAGAAACTTTGAGATGTAAATGTGTCTCTTTAAATTTTTGCTTCATATCAAGACAAAAGACCCTCTGTGGAAATATCTGCAGCACATTCTGAAAGCCCTGTCCAAAACTAGTGGTATCTCTTGGGATTAATCATATCTTCATTTTATAAACGTGAATCTTAACCCATTTTTTGGGTATTTCATTGATAGACCAACACATAGCAGCAAATAATTTAAACTATTTAACCGCCTTGTTCCATGATGCTGATTGGTCACCAATGTCCCCTAACAAACCTCTGAGGCGTTCACAGAACATCTGCATTTCCTGAAGTTAAATTATACACTCAGACTTGATGGTAATGGGCTTTATTTAGAAACACTGAGCTGAATACATTTCGCCACCAAAGTTTTCAGTACAAGAGTTCAATAAACACTTTTTTTTTTACTAAGTTTGTGTTTGTAACAGGAAAAACGTGGGGGAAAAACAACTTCAGGTTACATAAACAACTGTGAAAAGTTAACTGGGTTTGTTTTGAATATGTCAGTTTTGAGTGGGATCAGCAAGTTTTATTGGAAAGCACCTAGAGCTTATATGTTAGACTCCAATGAATGCTTTGGCTTATAAACTGTTAATTTCCTTTTTAATTTGGCTACTTAACATAACTTAGAGTAGAAGAACGGATTTCTCAAAACTAAAATATTACCCAGCGGGTGTCTTTGGCATGTGTTTACAGCTGCAAGTACAAAAAAAAAAAAAAAAAAACATTCTTATAATGGGAAAAAATAGGATCTAATTCCAGCCTCTGTCTCTTGATTTCATAACTCTACCATCAAGGTTAATGAGTAAATTTTAATGTTACCTTTGGAAGAAAATGTTCGTTGGTGATTTTGAAGTTGCGTAGCCACGTGGTGGCTTGAAGCGGCTGATCAAAGCGAGACGACTTATAGGACGATGGCATCAGCTCTTTACAGTTCTTCACCCACAAGTGGGCTGTATGAGGAAGAGGAGAAGGAGAAGGGTTTTACTCTCTCTGGTTTTCACATAAACACTTGTGGGATTTGGGTTCGTCTTACCATCAGGGACATGAAGCACCAGCCATCCCTGTGTGTAGCAGAAGTGGACCGTGTGACAAAGAGACATTGTTTTCCCTGTCCCCTTCAGGCCGTCTGAGCCCCCAGATAAGGACGACAACAGACGTTTTATTCAGGCTCAAGAGGCAAAAGAACTTTTGTTTATCTCTGCAGTCGGTGCGGCTTAGTGCTTTGAAGGATACAGAATACATATCTCAGGGAAGGTTGGCTGTAGTCGGCGTTTTTAAGGTAAGAGATGACCTCCAAGGCCGGCTGCCGCACCATGATGCAGGTCTCATTGAACGTCTTCCTCTAGAAATGACACAGGGTGGTTTATAACCAGGTTGACTGTTGACTTAACCCTACCCTAACCTTAACCCTGATTAAAGCATCAGAGAAGAACCTGCCTGTTGCTGATAGCGCCAAGGAAAGCTGTCAGGAAAAAGAGGCCGGACATGCGCAGAAGACAGGGTGTAGAACTGTCCCACATGTTTGTCTGAGTGGCAAGCCTGGAGGGTCAGAGAGGGACGGAGAAGGGTCACATCTGGACATCTTTTATAACAAAGTGCAAAACTTTAAAAATACACATTATGAATACAAATCTCAAACATATTGGATAAAAATATTTCTCTGTTACACTGGTACGACAAATTATTATTAGTTTATTACAAATATTTAAACATAAGTAAGTGGAATCTGTCAATAAAAGGAACAAGAACCAATTGAAAAAAGGAAATGAATTCAAGGGCACTCATGTAAAGGTGTGAGGTTTTGGATGGACAAAATGATAAACTGGAACAGAAACAGTCCTTTATCTAAACAAATCTGATCACAAAACAGCTTTATTTTACATTTTATTTCTAAATTTACTTGTAATTTCAAGCCACAAGTCTTATAAAAGAAGATACTAAAATAAATAAGGGTAGAAAAAATAATAATATGCATTTATCTTTTCATAGAGGCGAGTGTAACAGAAGGCGATTAAAAAGTGAAACACTTGTTTAAACACTAGTTTCACTAATTTAGTTATTACAACAAAAATGTTCTCTCCTAAATGATTTTATTACAGACGCAATGGGAAACCTTCAAAGCAACTTCAGGGTTTGTAATAACCTCAAACCATCTCATTTTAACAATGTCCACTTTTAATATGTATTTATTTATACACCAATTGTAAAAAATTAAAATTAAAATTAAAAAAACAGCACTTCATATCAACAAGCATAAAAATAATAACATGCTGCTGCTCAGCAATGAGAAAATCTTTTTGATTGCCATAACATCTAATGACTATTTCTTTTCCCAATCATTGTTGATATGGGTAGCAAAATCTTCTATTATGCCAAAATGTAAATAAAACAGATGAATGACTTTTTTTCAAAATTGACACTTATTTTACATTGCCTCATCTTTTGAGAGATGTTTGCGTCCTTATCAGTCAGAATCAAACTTCTTGGTTAAATGTAAATAAAGTTAAGCATAAATTTAACTGTATATACATAATTATGCACAAAGTATTACATAACAGCAGCCCTTCATGTTTAAATGAACAGTGATTGTCAGAAATCTTAAAAACTTTAATAAATAGATAAAATGCTTTGGTCAATATGAGTGATTATCTCAAATTCTAGTGTTTCAAATATTTTATATATCGGCTTTTAATAGTGGCGGCTTCATCCTATTAAGAAGCACAGACAATTGAAATTGTGACATGCTTTTGCACACTTTAAAACAGAAAAAATGAAATTTGTGCTTTCAATTTGCAGTAGTTTACAAACACTGAAGAACATAAAAACATATACAGTATATTAACCTTACATATATAAATAAAGGAGCGAGAGGATCTGTTTAAAGACAACATGAACATATGATCTTATGCTTATTTTTTAAAGTAATCATAAATTAAAATTTGGATTCTTAACCGAACCACCTGATTCCCATAGAAAAGGATTAATAAACATCTTACTGGATCTTTTTCCTGTGTCCTGAAAATGGACACAGACTCTGGTTCTGGCTCCACAGCCACAGCTTCCTGCTGCTGGACATATCCACTGCTATGAAGACTCCTGACATGTGTCACCTGCAGCACAGCAGCAAAATACAATAAAAACATCTTCACCTGTTAGTTTAACACCTCAAACGTGGTTTTAAAAACATGGAGAATGAGTTAGATCTCAGGCAGCAGCCCATAAATAAACGCTCACCGTTGGCCGCAGCCTGAAGGCCAGTCTGTGAAGAGACATGATCTGAAACACGCCAGGGAAAAGTTACTGCTTTCGTATTTTAAAGTTTAAAATATGAACTGAATGTTTCAGTCGAGTCATGTAACCTTTGCATAAACACACAGCTAACAGCTAGCAGCTAGCAGCAGCTTCCCGAGGCCTCTGCAGCGACTCACCAGCGGTTCACTTCCGCAGATATTTACTAAAATGGGAGTTTATCTGCCGACTTCATCCACCGACAAAATGACCCGGAGACGAAGACGAGGGGAGGAAAAACTCCACACAGCTCGTAGAAGTCAACGTGCCAGCGCCGTCACGGACAACGCCATCATGAACTCCGGGACGTGACGTAGCATAGTCATGAGCCAATCAGATCACACAAGTTTCTCCGGAAAGATGGGAAATTGAGTTTTTTGGACTTTAGCACATTTTGTTTCTGAACGTTGTTATGCATATCTGGTACAGAGTTTAAAGAGTAACCTTCTTGTGCTATCATGTTTTTCATATACTTTAAGTTACTTTATTTTATTTCTTTGCACCAGCGTGTCTTTTTTGTGTTAAATGTTTTGACAGTAGTTTTGCTCATTACCATTTGGAATACTAAGTTCAATTAAAATTAAGTATTTTTGATAACTGACGATCAAATCTCTCTGTCCACTTTGTGGGGGGATTTTGGCCCAACTTAAAGGGTTGCTTTAATGCACTCACATTGTCAATGTCAATGTCAAATTTATTTATATAGCACTTTAAAACAGGTATAAAACTGCACCAAAGTGCTGCACAGGAACAACAGTAACACAAGTAGATAAAACAGAATATCAAAAAATTGCTTCAGTTAAAAGCCAACGAATAAAAATGAGTTTTGAGAAGCGATTTAAAATGATCCAGGCTGCTAGCAGATCTAATCTGAAAAGGCAAATTGTTCCATAAATTAGGAGCAACAACAGAAAAAGCCCGATCTCCTTTCCTTAGTCGGGTCCGAGGGACTGTAAGTAAAAGCTGATTGTTTGATCTGAGGGTTCTGGACACAGACTGAAGTTTTAAAAGATCCTGAAGATAAGGGGAGCTAGCCCATTTAAAACTTTATAAGTTAATAAAAGAATCTTAAAATCTATTCTATACATAACAGGCAGCCAGTGTAAATTGACCAGTTTAGGCCTTATATGGTCATGCTTCCTGGTTCCTGTAAGAAGCCGTGCCGCTGCATTCTGGATCATTTGAAGTCGATGAATCTGTGATTTAACCATGCCACTATATAAAGAATTACAATAGTCCAGAGTGGTAATGAAGGCATGGATCAGTCCTTCAAAGTCCTTAAAACAAAAATAAGATTTGATTTTTGCTAAAATCCGTAGGTGATAAAAACTCGATTTAACGACAGAACTAACTTGTTTATCGAGCTTTAAACAGCTATCAAAAGTAAAGCCAAGATTCCTAACTGAGGTCTCACAAAATTGAGCCAAAGAACCCAGAATCTGATCTGGTTTTGTAGTGTAAAGACTTTGGCCAAACAATATAACTTGAGTTTTTCTTTGGTTTAGGTGAAGAAAGTTTGTCCCATCCAAGATTTAACTTCAGCCAAACAATCTGTCAATAACTGAAGAGATTCATTATTTCCATTTTTTAGTTTAAGGGGCATATAAATCTGGACGTCATCTGCAAAGCAATGAAAGGAAACGTTAAATTTATGAAAAATCTGACCTAGAGGTAATAAATATAAAATGAACAAAATGGGACCTAAAATTGAGCCTTGGGGGACGCCATACTTTAAAGGTTTGGCCCCAGAATAGCATTGGTCAAGATTAACTGTGAAAGTTCTGTTTTCTAAATAAGATTTGAACCATTCAAATACTGGGCCTCTCAGGCCAACACAATGTTTTAATCTGTTTAAAAGAATCTGATGATCAACAGTGTCAAATGCAGCGCTCAAATCTAAAAGTAATAAAACCGCAACATTGCCTGAATCAACTGTTAAAAGAAGGTCATTATAAACTCGAAGCAAAGCTGTTTCAGTGCTATGAGCAACTTTAAACCCTGACTGGAATTTCTCAGTTATATTATTGATTTTTAGATAGAATTCAAGTTGAATATAAACTAATTTTTCAAGGACCTTAGATAAAAAAGGGAGTTTAGAAATGGGCCTAAAATTTGCTAGTACACTTGAGTTCAGATTGGGTTTTTTAAGAAGGGGTTTAACCACAGCATGTTTAAGTATTGATGGGACACAACCTGACTGCATTGAGGCATTTATTACCATTAGGATATATAGGCTAGAAGTAAGAAAAACGTCTTTTATCAGACATTGGAAGGTGTTCCAGCACGATTAACCTGTTTAAGGTTAATCGTGCTTGACAGAATCTCAATCAGATTTTAATACAGACTTTGACTAGGCCATTCATTCCAATACTTTTACATGAGTGTTCTGTAGATTCCTCTGAATACCACAAGTGTACCTGTCCCAAGATCACAAGCTGATTTATGGTTTATGTTCAGGATTTTTGTCTGAAGAGCAGAAAATGTTGAACAATCCATTCATTGACAGCCATGTTTAACTGTATCTGATGTTCTTTATTGCAAAATACTGCATTAGTTTTAGATATAATTACTTCAAGTTACTTTATTTTATTTCTTTCATATATAATTACTGAAAGTTCAACTTTTGGGAATCATCAAGATGTCTACTGGGAATTGTGATACCAGTTTTCTTTTCGCTCAGCAGTGGTTCCCACATTGGAAGTGTCCTATGGAGGCCATTGTTGCTTTTTTTTTATTATTATTGATTTGTGAACACTGACCTTAGCTGAGGCAGTGAAGTCTGAAGTACTTTAAATGCTGTTAAAAGTACTTCAGACTTTAAAGACTATAAACAACATTTAAAGTCTGAAGTACTTTAAATGTTCAAGAGTCTTGCACTCTTGAACTAATTCTGGTAGAATAGCCACTTAAGGGGCTGCACAGTGGCGCAGTAGGTAGCGATGTTGCCTTACAGCAAGAAGGTCCTGGGTTCGATTCCCGGCCCGGGGTATTTCTGCACGTTCTCTCTGTGCATGCGTGGGTTCTCTCCGGCTTCCTCCCACATCCAAAAACATGACTGTCAGGTTGATTGGTCTTTCCAAATTTCCAAAGGTGTGTGTGTGCATGGTTGTTCGTCCTGTTTGTCTCTGGCGACCTGTCCAGGGTGTACCCCACCTCTCGCCCGGAACGCAGCTGGAGCTAGGCACCAGCACCTCCTGACCCTGTTAGGGAGAAGGGTGCTCAGAAAATGGATGGATGGATGGATAGCCACTTAAGGAAGAGTGGGACAAAATTGCTCCATAGAGGCGTAAAAACACATTGCCACGCATCAAAGTTGAATGTTGCCACAAATGGTGGCACAACCAGTTACTATTTTTTCTCATAGGCTCATGTTGTTTTTGATAGTTTTTCTCCCTAAATCAATAAAATCTATTTTAAAACTCTTTGTATTTTTTAAAGTTATGTTTAGCCAACAATCAAATTTTATTCCATCTGATTAAATGAGAAAAAGGCATAAACAAAAGAAATCTTTCAGGGTGCAAATGCATATTGAGATTGAATCTAACTCCCACATCAGGCCCTGTTTGTCTCCCAGTAACTTTAAACTTTTAGGCTATAGATCTAAGTGAATTCAGGGCAGAATTTAACTATTTTTTGTCTTGCAAAGTTCAAAATGCACTGCCTGGAGGTTATGTTCTATTGTCTTTCTCATTTTGAATATAGTGGCTGAGAGAAATTTGCTGCTGTGTGCGTTATGTTTCTATTTTCATTGAATGCTCTCAAATTAAAGCCAGAAATTTAGTGAAAATTGCAGTCTTGATATTCCACTGCTGCAATAAAGAAAAATCTTATTTTGAAAATGTTTACTCATTTATTTGACAAGTTATATGAATGAACTCGACACACACTTTGTCGACCTAAACCGTTCTGACTTTGAACCTCCGAATGGCAACAAAACAAAAATATAATGTATATTATAACTGCTATTATTGTCAAACACGTTTCGTTTGAAATGCAAATATGATGTTATCCATGGATGAGTGATAGAGGGGGACTCTTTGCTTTTTGTTTCTTTGTTCAACTCATGCATAATAAACAGTCCTCGCTTTAACTTTTTAATAAACGCTCATATCCTGTTTGCCTCTCCCAGCGGTGCATGAGCTGAACCCCCAATCTCACATGACGCACTCTGCAACTTCTGAGCTGCTCCCCACCAGAAGAGGAGAAAAAAAAAACACTCTGACAACAGCTCACTTCAGCCAAGTCGTCGCCATTTTATTAAGAGACTAAATAGCCTTCCTCTGATCGCCTGTTATGAACTGCAGTGAGATCCTGGGCTCCCTTCGCCGTTTTTTCCTCCTCTGGCCACATGAAAATGGCCACGCAGTTGCATTCCCGCACATCCAACCGCACACGCACATATGCACTGGAGAGCTGCAGCCTTCAGCCCGTCCCCCTCCTCCTCCTCTTCCTCCTGCTCCTCGTCCTCCTCCTCCTCCTCATTGCTCGCCTGCTTGTGTGCGCACACACGTACATCAGAGCGCCGTGAGCCATGAGAACTGGCGGGAGCGATCCAACTTTCCCTGAGAGAGAAGTGGCAAAATAAGACCCAGTGGGTGTAACCAGTACGCCACCTAGCTGCGGAGACGCTTCGGCGGAGATCCGTCGACTGTACGGATTATGAAAAACACCCGCGCCGATGTTGTTGCACGGAAGGCTACGCGCTCTGCTGGGGGAACAAACTCGCCTTTCGGGGGTGTTTTTAACCTCCGCCGGCCCTAGTTATGTAATCGGAGCCACAATCTAATGCACCAGAAGCGGCGGATCGCTCGCAGTTGGAACCGAGAGGAGCGGAGAGCAGGACAGCAACACCTTCAGCTCCTTTTGCCTTGAACGCAGTTGGCTCTGGGACGCGCTCTCTGGGTAAGTAGCCTACGTAGCCTTATTACAGATTGCCATGGCAGTCCGTATTAATGTGCGCAGGCCTTTTCATCATGACCGAGCTCAAATTCGGTGCATCCGCTTTGCGCTAATTTTATCCCTTGTTGCTGAGCGTGTTTCCCTCCCCTTCCTCTGTTCTCCTTGCGCGGTGATATTTTTCTTATTTCAATGTTGCTGACACCAGCAGGGGGACTGGCAGAGGACAGAGGGGGTGGGGAGGAGGGGGGCTCTCTCGGGACTGATCCACATCAGCAGGCGCGTTTTGATGCCATGCACCCTCCTTTACTTCCATGTTTTTTTTTTTTTTTTAGCTCGCTTGCTGTGCATGTTTGCTGTTTTTTTTATTATTATTTTATTAGGACGCTCAAACACGCGTCGTATGCAATAACGAAGGCGAGGAGCAACAACAACACGTGTGTTTCATTTGCAAGTGCGCCAGCATCAAGAGGATGGTGCGCAAAGTCGTTTTAGAGGAGAGAAAGCTTCAATATATCCACAGTGGCAACATCAGTCAGCCGACACAACTGCGACCTGAGTACATAATGTTCAATCAACACACTTCCATCTGAGGGAGAAGTGTGTGTACGTGTGAGGAGGTGGGATGTAGAAAAAAAAATCGCCAAAGTATTCACACCCCTCTAACTGTTTCGACGCTCTGTCAGCGCCGCAGCCGCGAACTTTAATGTGTCTTACGAGAGTTTTGTGTGATAAACAAGCACAAAAAAAAAAGAAGAAGAGTGCAGCGGAAAGAAAGGATACGTGGTTTTAAATGGATGGTAAAATAAGAAGCGTGTGGCATGGTTGCACTAACAACTGCAAGCCAAAAGCTGTGCAACCAACTGCCTTCAGAAATAATGAGCAAATAAGGAAAATATAGTCTCAGTGCAGCTGATCTGTGAAAGCGTCTTGGAAAGTAGAGAACAAGCAACACAAAGACCAAAAAGCATAACAGGTCAGAGAGAAACTGAATTTACTCGAATCCAAAGCTTCCCTGGTCATCCACCTAAACTGTCAAGTTGTGCAAGGCGTTAACCAGGTAAGCAGTGGCTTTGGAGGAGCTGCAGAAATCTGGAGCTCAAGTTGGAGAAAACCATTAACTCTAGGCAGCATTTAAAAGCTGATTTTCACTAAAGACCTCCATCAGTCTGACTGAGCCTGAGCTATTTTGCAAGAAAGTATTTCAGTCTCCAGTTGTAAAGCTGGCAGAGACATAACCCCAAAAGATTTGTAGCTGCAGTTGCAGTAAAATTGGCTTCTGCTAACACACCTTAGAGATTTCTATTTGCGAAACACAATTAAAATAATTTTCTTCTGCTTATGATTCACTACTACTTTGTGCTACTCAGTCATATGAAATTCCACTCAAATAAATTGAAGTGAATGCTTGTAATGTGAAAAATGAATAACTAATTACGGTGAATACTATTGCAAAGTATTTTACTTCCCTGTCGGTGCGCCTCTGATAGCTCTAGAAAAGGGTGACCAGATGCGAGCCACGGATCATCTTTTCACGCACCATAAAAGCTGGAGCCAGAACATAATATCAGGGTATAAGGACAGGGATGAGAAGTACGCTCTGAAGGACACAAGCATGACAAAAACCAATAAATAAAACAAACAAAAAACTTAATAAAAAAGACATTCATCCACTATTGCCCAGTAAATTCAATACGGTGGGCCACTACCTCACAGTATCTCCATATTGGCCGCTACTCCTTCCCTGTGAAGGTGAAGTGTGAGAGCTGAGTGACTAACTGCGAGGCTTCGTGGTTCAACAACCTGAGATGCCAACACTGGAGCCCAGTTTCCAGCTGTGCTCCTGCTGTTGTCAGGCAGATGCTAGCGGCTGTTGTGGTCCTCGATGATAACGCTGTCACAGGACGGTGATCATGATCCTGCTGGAAAGATGGAGGGCCATTATCATGATTTAATCGTCCCTCTCAGGAGGAACCACAGTGACTTACAGTGTCAAGTCCACCCATCATTCTGTCACTGGGAATAGCTTCTGCTCTAATCTTAGAATAATTCAGAGTTATGTATGAGAGGTATGGCTCTGGAGAGCATAAGGAGCTATTAGTATGCTCTTTGACTGATCTTGAATGGGCTTATCCTTTTAGGTTTGAAAACCTGCCACTCTCATTATCTGCCTGCCGTCACTTTTCACTCCAGCTGTTTCGGAAAGTGTCTGCATTTAAAGCTGTTACCCAGACGTTTGAGTAAAATCTTTAGATCTGTTTTGTCGTCTATTTAATGATCAGAAAATATTTGTTTCGGTATTATATTATCACTTGTAATTTTCTCAGGATAAAATACATTGCTCATACCAGCATGCCTTTAGTGACATCACAAAAGGTAACTGATCAGAGTTCTTTTCGCTGTGTGCATTTGCAATCTCCTTATTTTTATTGTAATGTCTCCATCAGTCTGAGATTGCTATTACTATATGTACATAATACATAAATGTAGGTACAAATGTATAAAAATATATATATATAGAAAAAAATAAATTTAGTAACTGTTTTAGCAGAGAATATAAGTCCTTTCTGCAGTTCTATTCATTTACAGAATAACACCACAAGTATAACTAGCTAATAATCTGGGGGTAAGAAGTTGGGCTATCTGCTCTGTCAGAACATGAAATTAGCTACTTGACAGACATGCTGCTCACAGTTTACCTACTTTAGTTTTTAAACAGCAGTCAGTTATTCAGAATGGTGATAGCGGGCTGGGAAAACCTTTGTTCCCCGTCAAGGTATGGGCAATTATTGCAACAGAAGTCCTTTACAAAAAAAAAAATGGTACTGTTATTTATTGTGATAATGATAAACTCTAGTTAATGATGTCTACATAACGCAAAACGAACAGAAAAAGGTTTGTTAAGTTGACTGTTTGAAATAATTTCAATAGTTTTTCATTGCTTTCCCAATGTTGGATCCATGAGAGCATCAACAATTTGAAATACTTTTGAAAATATGAAATATAAATGCAGCTGATTCACTCTTCCATGGTACAATAGAACTATGTTAGTACTCCAGCGTACTGAAATACTGCAATTAATAATGGATAAACTGCTCTAAGTTTTGTTTTTAGAGCAGTTTGGGAGGCTCTGACTATATTAATTGATTGTGTTGCCCAATCCCTATTTCATGTCATAACTGTGTGCTTTCTTATTATTAAGATTTGAGTTTGTCCAGCCTGTATGCAAGGCAAAAAACGTACAGCCATTTCTTTCAGCAAGTAGAACGGCAGTACAGAGCAATAGGTGAGGGAAGGGACAGTTATTCAGGTCTCCAGACCTGAGGGATAAATAAAAAATGTGCATGATTTCAGGCACATTTCTTTAAAAAGATTTTAAACTGCAGTAATCCCTGATACTAATAGAAAAAATTACCTACCTTCAACGTGTCTATCTCTTGTCAGAACAGCATCATCAAAACATCAGAGAAATCTGGTGACAATTAAGGTCAAAATAAATTCCAACGATGCTTCCTGCTGAACTGCTGCATCCCTCGCTACTTCTGACTCGTACAAAGTCCCGATCTATCAGTTTGCCCCACTATGTGTGGACAGGTTGCACAGCTGGCAACTTCAACTGTCCAGGCAACTCCAGGGAGGAAGTAAGAAAAACTCCCATTGTTCAGTAGACAAAAAGAAAGAAGTTAAAGAGAGTTCAGACTGGCTCTCATCTGGAAAATTAAGTAGATATTGAAGGCAGTATAAGTAAATGATATGCATTCTCTTGGGGCAAATGAGAGGTTGGACATGGGCCGTTGCAGCTCGATATGCTGTTTTATCAACTGCCATTGTGAAAAGCGACTCATACTGCACCATCCTAGATAGGTTCTAGGTGGTGTGAGGTTGTAGTTGGTCTGGGATAGTTAGGGTGGAGGTGCTGGCATCATATAGCACAGATCGTCGACCGGGGGACAGAAAAATGTCTCTGCGAGCGACCAACGCAAGTGCAACATGTTTGATACCACAATAGGCTATTGGGTGTAGTCCTGGCTTCCCAGTGAAAGTCCAACTGGTGGCGGAAGCACTTTCCTGGCCAGCGTACCGAACCGCACTGACCCGTGCCGTACCACTCAGTGGGAATGAGGTATAAATAATCGATGCTCAAGCATGACCCCAAGCACATCAACAGCAGCACTCTTTAAATACATGCTTCATACCTTCTTTGTTGTATAGTGTATTTTAGTGACTGTCTTACAGTACAGAATATTTTTTCTGTGGGTGAAGACATTTGGAGTGTTTACAAAGAACTTCTTTTGGCAAGGACACATATTTTTTTTTCATTTTGAGAAAACCAAAAATACTTTATGTATATGAAGCTATAAATTTATTGTCATTTGTATGTGCAAAAGTGAAGTCGTGTGGGTAGGGCTCCCAACAGTGTCTGGCATGTAAATATGCCGAAAAGCCAAACAGATGGAAAAACTGAATCAGGAATATAAACACATTCGTACAAGTTAAAGATCTGAATAACCGTTTGCCTCTACTCAGCACTCTTCATGGCTTGGGGAACATCAGTCAAATTCTGGCTCAAAAGTGTGTATGGTTATAATTTTTCAACTTTAGAGTCTATGTCTCAATTTGTGAGGAGTTGCCATTCCGGCATAAATATGTTCCAATGCTGGCTGATCAGATCAATTCTTGCACTTCGTGTGATGTTATAAACCTAATCTCACACAAGAAACAGAAAGCAGAAGTTTTTTCTGCAGAACATTGTTTAAACTTTGTCCCTTTTCACTCAGCTGTGTTTTACTGTCAGTGTACGGTTGTCAAGTGGAATAAATTGGCATCCTTGGATTGCATCTTTAAGAAA